GTTGGTGGAATAAATCTGGACCTGACTGAAGTTCAAGTTTGATGTTTAAAATTTGTTTTTGATTTAAAACACAGACATGTCTCTTGTTCCTGGGTAGGAAGTGTTCTTCTTGCCTCGGAGGCAGAAGGAAAGTCATTAATATCTATTTGCAAAAACTTTGCTTTTGTGACCCGTAATTTAATTTTACAAATGTCACTGTCATCGTAACAAAGACAAAGTTTGCTCCTGCCTGAGAGACGCTCTTTAACCCGATGGTCCTTTTGCAATCAGGCTTTAAAAGTTCATGCAAAATCTTGCAAAGGGTTATGATTAAAAGCCACCTGGTTAGGTTTAAGCAATAAAAACACTCAGTTTGGGTTAAAATACACCCTGTTCTCCCAAAGATCTACAAGCTACACGCTGCAGATGCAAAACACACTAAAAGTTGTGCTTAAGGACAAACAAATTTGCTGGTTTGTCTCCAGGAAAACAAAAAAACTGGCTGTCCAAAAGTAGAGTCTTTATTCTTATATTTAAATATGTTACTGAAAGAAAGACGGTCCGTGTGTTCTCCTGATTAACACAGAGATTCGAGCAGACACGTCAACGTACTTCTGATATTTTGTTAAGCAGCACATGCAAATGTGATGCTGCTGCTTAAAGCTGTAATTAGTAGCGTAATAAATGACTTTTAAAGCAGTATAAATACACCAATCAGCATGACACCAGGTGAAGTGAATAACGCTGACTCTTCATCGTTGTACATCAGGGAGAAAGTGAACATTTTGTCCCCAAAGTTGGTGTGTGAAGCAGGAAAAACAGACAAGCGTGAAGATGTGAGCGAGTTTGACAAAAGGCCAAACTGTGACGCCTTCATCTCTGAAGCTGCAGGTCCTGTGGGGGTGTTCCCGGTCTGCAGGGTCAGTATCTGTCAAAAAGTGGACCAGCAGGGAACCAGCGGCACGGTCATGAGCAGCCAAGGCTCATTGATGCCTGTGTGGTCTGATCCAACAGAGAGCTAATGTAGCTCAAAGTTCATGAGGATCACAGAGCATCACAGTTTGGTGCAGTCCAGTCAGGACGCCCATGCTGACCTCATCCACCTCCAAAACCACCAACAACAGACAGGTGAGCATCAGGACTGGACCACGAGGAAACAGAAGGTGTTCTGGTCTGAGGAGCCACGTTTCTTTTACATCACATAGATGGCCGGATGAGTGTGTTGCTTATCTGGGGAACACCTGCCATCAGGATGCATTATGGGAAGGAGGCAAGGAAGCAGAGGCAGCGTAAGGCTTTAAGCAACGTTCTGCCCAAACATCGACACGTACCATCCTCCTAAGCACTGATGCAGGACATGTACACACTTTCACGGAAATGGTATTCCCTGACGGCTGTGGCCTCTTTCAGCAGGAAAATGAGCCTGGCCACAAAGAAAGTGGTTCAGGGACGGTGTGAGGAGCACAGCAGTGAGTTTCTAAGGCCCCACCTCAGAGGGTTTAGAGCATAGGTGTCAAACTCTGGCCCGTGGGCCAAATTTGGCCCGCAGCCTAATTACATTTGGCCCGC